TCATCATAGGTGGTTGTGAGTGGTGTGGTTGTGGTGGGGTGGTGGCTGGCGCTCCGCTTGTTGTCTTGAATGACGAGTCAGCAGGCGTGGGTCCCAGCTCGTGGCTGTGAGGTCCACGGGCATGCGCGGTGCACTACATCACCCTAACCCATCCATGATGCCTGTGGTTTATCATGCCAAGTGTAGCCACATCATCCTCGATATTTCTACTATAAGCTATGTTGGGCCACGCGGATGTACTACGGGATGTACTCGTCCCCTGGGCACAGCTAGGGGTAACACCAGAGCGATGGCGGCGGCGAAACATACTGACGCTTCACTGCGTGATTATGATTCCTAACATCACTACTCGAGTGATCGTCGAGCACTAATAAAATCACAGTCCACATTCCCTATCATCATTGTATTACTGAAGACGAGGCCTGGCCACGCAAAAAAATATTGTTTTCTTTGCGATGAGGAACAGACCATGAGTCACGAAGTGCCACACCAGAGGTAGGAGTGTGAGGATCGTCGGGTTATCTGCACTATTATCATATCCGGTCATTCTTTTCGGTCACTAAATGACAAAAGCCGTAGAATTCTTCTTCATTTCCACTACATCTGTGTCAGAACTATCAGATAGGAGAGGAGAGTCCCAATTTTCCGGGGAGTGAGAGCCGACTTCCGACGAGGCATGGTGAACAAGGGTAACTGAGCCGGCGTTCCCACAATGCTATGCGGGCGCCTAGATTTTTTGTTTATGGCGCACACCCACCACGCAGACCCGTTCTCTCACATGTAGGCCTATGAGCGTTTTCGCGCTAAATTTGACAGCGCTAGAATTTTGGCGTAGATCTACGGTTTGGACACTCAACGTAAAGCCGTTGATCTACGGGACGGACCCTGAAAGGGTTAAGCATCCCAGAGCGATAAAATGTATATACAGTTCACTCATTACTTACCTTAAAATATTTGTAGTCTTAATCTAGGGTGAGATGAGTAATATTTATTGGAAGAAATTAAGTGCAGTATGTATGGTAGTCAGAAAGGCCAACCCATCCACACATACTCTTCTATGATAGTTAAGCATCCCAGAGCGATAAAATGCATATACAGTTCACTCATTGCTTACCTTAAAATATTTGTAATCTTAATGTAGGATCAGAGGTGAGTAAACAAGATAAAACGAATGAATGAGAGAGAGAGAGAGAGAATGAGTACATGAGAGAGGACAGGCGCAGAGTTATGTAAACAAACCAGGCGAACATAAGTTTTGTAAACAAACAGTGTACACGTCTGGTTTGTGTACAAGTTGTGTCTACATTGATATGGTAGAATAAATAAAGAAGAACACTCCCATTCTCATGTAGCATCATTTTTAGAAGAAATGACACTCTGAGTGAAAGCAATGGAAATAAGTCACTCTGACTTTTTTGGGTTATCCTAGGTTCTCTACACATATGCTGTTTTGTATGATAATCGATGTAACTGTATTTGTGTATACCTGAATAAACTTACATACATACGAAAGGAATAATTTTCTACAGTTACCCCCAGTAACACATTTTCTTTGATGTTTGACTAGAGAAAATGTTATTCTTGCCGTCACTCATAAAAGTCTGGCTCCCACATCTCATATTTGTTTATTTATTCTATTGTGGGGTGTATTTATCATCTTTATATGTTATGTATCATGTTTATTATATAATTTTGAAAAAAATATCATGGATCGATTAATGAAAATATGTAATATACGACATTTAATGAGACTTGGTGATGATTGTTATTATTAGTATCATCATCATTTCTAATTGTGCAAGTCGTCTGCTACCACATCTCTTCTTTTTTTTTTTAACAAGTCGGCCGTCTCCCACCGAGGCAGGGTGACCCAAAAAGAAAGAAAATCCACAAAAAGAAAATAGTTTTATCATCATTCAACACTTTCACCTTGCTCACACATGATCACTGTTTTTGCAGAGATGCTCAGAACACAACAGTTTAGAAGCATATACGTATAAAGATACACAACATATCCCTCCAAACTGCTAATATCCCAAAACCCCTCCTTTAGAGTGCAGGCATTGTACTTCTCATTTCCAGGACTCCAGTCCGGCTATATAAAAATAACAGGTTTCCCTGAATCCCCTGACTAAATATTACCCTGCTCACACTCCAACAGCTCGTCAGGTCCCAAATACCATTTGTCTCTATTCACTCCTATCGAACACGCTCATGCATGCTGCTGGAAGTGCAAGCCCCTCGCCCACAAAACCTCCCTTACCCTTCCTTCCAAACTTTTCGAGGACGACCAGCATCCCGCCTTCCTTCTACAGATTTAAATGCTCTCCATGTCATTTTACTTTGATCCATTCTCTCTAAATGACCAAACCACCTCAACAACCCCTCTTCAGCCCTCTGACTAATACGTTTATTAACTCCACACCTTCTCCTAATTTCCTCACTCCAAGAGTTTTTATGAGGATAGTGAGGCTCAGGTTAGGGTGTGTAGAAGAGAGGGAGACTACTTCCCGGTAAAAGTAGGCCTTAGACAGAGATGTGTAATGTCACCATGATTTGTTTAATATATTTATAGATGGGGTTGTAAAAGAAGTGAATGCAAGGGTTTTCAGGAGGGGGGTGGGATCAAATTATGGGGAATCAAATACAAAATGGGAATTGACAGTTACTTTTTGCTGATGATACTGTGCTTATGGGAGATTCTAAAGAAAAATTGCAAAGGTTAGTGGATGTGTTTGGGAGTGTGTGTAAAGGTAGAAAGTTGAAAGTGAACATAGAAAAGAGTAAGGTGAGGAAGGTATCAAATGATTTAGATAAAGAAAAATTGGATATCAAATTGGGAGTAGTAGAGGGAAAGAAGTGATGTTTTCAGATATTTGGGAGTTGCTGTGTGGTGGATGGATTATGAGATGAGGTTAATTCTAGAATTGATGAGGGAAAAAAATGGTGAGTGGTGCGTTGAGTATTGTGGAGCCCAAAAAATGTTTCTATGGAGCAAGAGGGAATGTTGAAAGTATAGTAGTACCAACACTCTTATATGGGTGTGAAGCTTGGGTTGTGAATGCAGCAGGGAGGAGGCGGTTGGAGGCAGTGGAGATGTCCTGTCTAAGGGCAGTGTGTGGTGTAAATATTACGCAGAAAATTCGGAGTGTGATCTCATATTTGTTTATTTATTCTACTGTGGGGTGTATTTATCATCTTTATATGTTATGCTTCGTGTTTATTATATACATGATTTTGAAAAATATCACAGATGGATTAATGAAAATATGTATATTAACGTAATATACGACATTTAACCTGTAAACGGTCCAAGCAGATCTACGTTCACATGTGTAGTGCTACAAAAGTAGATCTAAGTTTTTTTTTTTTTTTTTTTTTTTTTTTTACATATTTTCAAATATAACAAAAAAAAAAAGTAGATCAAAGTTTTTTACACATTTTCAAATGTAGAAAAACAAAAAGATCTACTTTTTTTTACATACTTTCAAATGTTGAAAAAACGTATATATACGTTTGGACCATTTACGGGTTAATGACTCGATTATTATCATTACTAATATGACGTCTCGAGATATAAGACACTCTTACTGATTTTAATGTGTACCTGCATGCCAGCACAGTATGTAAGTTTATTTAGGTACGTACAGGTATATACAGTGGACCCCTGCATAATGATCACCTCCGAATGCGACCAATTATGTAAGTGTATTTATGTAAGTGCGTTTGTACGTGTATGTTTGGGGGTCTGAAATGGACTAATCTACTTCACAATATTCCTTATGGGAACAAATTCGGTCAGTACTGGCACCTGAACATACTTCTGGAGTGAAAAAATATCGTTAACCGGGGATCCACTGTATAAGTATAATTATCAGAGTACGTATATATAAAATGTGAAATAACTTTTAAAAACACTTGAAAATTTTGGGTTTTTCCCGACATAATGGAGAAACTTTTAAAGCTTACAGATCTCACATAGAATGTAAACCAAACAGGTATGGGGCACGGAACCATATTAGAAAAATCGGTAGGGAGGAAGCCGTTTTAGGAGTTTTTTGGGCATAATTGAAATGACTGTTTTGCGAATGCGTAAGTGAACGCTGTTAAAGCGGAACGCCGTTAAAGCGGGACCTACTTACAGTACAAAGAAATTTAAAAATTAAATTGAGTTGTCCAGTGTGTAGTTTGGCATGATTCCACTGTGTAGTGTCAAATTGATGGGGATTAGGCACAAAACATGCCTCTTCCTGCCAACCCCAGATGCTGTCTAGTAGTTGTTACATACTTGCAACTTATGGTGGTGGTGGTAGTGTGTGTTTGTATGATGGACACAGCCAGCGGTGGTTGAGGTGTAGGGTGCGGGACCTGGCTTCCTCTCAAGGCTGGCACTGGTGCCACTTGCTTCTGTGTCCTAGCACCTAGTATCATATGCATTGCCAGTATTGTGCATGGTCCACTACCCATACCCATGGAAAGCACCATCACTATTACTTGCTGGTGAAGGATATCCTCCAATCTACCACATTCCTTGGGGATAGCCCTAGGCCCTAGGGACATTACCAGACCATGTATGCCACCAAATAAATTAACATGTGAATCGTCATCCTCACTGTCGGTTGTCTGATCTGCAGTTGCTAGGAATCACTGGAGAATATTAGCTCGTGTGTATGGCTTGGACTTGTTGTGGATGCGCTGATGGCTGAGATAGATGGTTGGGATCATCAAGGTTTTCAGCACTTTTTTTTTTTTTTTTTTTCCTGTCACTTTTGGTCACATTGTCCTCTAACTGTAAAACTTACTTCCAGAAGTTATATCCTTCATGTTGGAGCTGTCGCTGGTAAATAGTAATCAAAGTATATTAAGTATATATTAAGTATATTATACAGTATATTAAGTCTCATGCAAATGAAATGGACTGATGTTAGATAGTAGTCTTTTTTTTTTTTTTTTTTGTGAAACTTTTAGTATGTACTTAAACATATTGCACTTTATTACAG